AACAATGTTTTTAGCGATCAGGTCTTTGAGCAAATAGGATAATATAGGTATCAATCGACGCTCAAAATGCTGATTCGCCTAGAGTGGCGATAAGCTTGAAACGCTGATTCGCGCAAAACGATGATTCTCCCGTAACGCCGACTCGCAGAGTATATACGAAACTTAGCGCGCCAATGACATGTCATCTCTTAACACGCTACGGAAATCTGCTATACCTACGCCAGCATAGAGAACGCTGGTGAAAAATTGGCCCACGCAACTGCATATTTCCGTGTTAAAATGGTATTTCCGCTTCGAACTCACGGTATAAGTTTTTTGTTGCGCTTCAGGCAACTTCTTTAACTCTGAGTCATACTGATTCCACCCATCAGGTGTTTCTTCTTTGCTCTTTTTTGTTACACCGAAGCATGTCAGAAAAGATGCTCCATCTAAAGTGATACAAGTAGGCTCAGTGCTTCAGAGTAAGTTTCAAGTGAACTTACTTGGTTTTGTTATAATCAGATTTTGATGATCCGATCCCACCGACTCCCACGCTTCCGACTCGTCTCGTGCGAAATCCACGCTCTTGTATATCTGGAATCATTCAACAAATTCTAAAACCTTTTTAGCAGCAGCAAGAGGGAGTTAAATCAAGAAAGTAGAAATGCTCTACAACACTAAATAGAGAATGAATAAGAAATGCCTATGTAACCACTGAAAAACGACACTTCAAAATAGGTTTCAAATTGGGGCTAAAATCTGCTTATCTATCTTGCAGCAGGGTAATGATCCACATCCTACAGGGTCAGCTCTCGCTATCGCAGACGATCAAAGCAGCGCAGCTTGGTCTCGCCGCGTACCCTCCCCCTTTCTTCAGCCCCATTGAATTTAGTCCTATTTTCCTATTTGATGACGATCACCCGCAGAAAGGAGTACCCTTGTACAAGACAAGCCGTTGCAAAGGTTCTGCTCAAAACAATATGTTTTTTGTCTCATGTCTCAAGCCGGTTGCATGTTTCAAAGCCAACGCCTTCGTATCGAAAACTGCGTGAGTCATTACAGGCACAACACTACCACTAGGAACGTGACAAATGTGAAGGAAAAAGAGCAAATAACCCGCTTGAAATTTGAGATCCCCTCGCTGGAACCTGCTTTGCACGGTGCCAAAAAGACAGAAAAGGGGCGTGGTCGGACGAGTGCTCATTATTGGTGCCAGCTCTTTCTCCTAATCACCTGACTATAATTATTCCAATGAAGAGGACAAGTAGCGGAACACTTGCACCACCAGGATAAACTTGAAAAAATAAAGTTTGGGGGCGCCGTGGCCACTGGGTGGGGATGTGGTTCCATCGCAAGCGGGCGGCATCCAAAAGGAAGCTGCTGCCAAGCATATGAGTTTTTTCTTGCGTCGTCGCAATGCGTCTCCGCGACTTTGCTAATAAATGCGTCTTATACCACAGAAAATGTGGTTCCATCAGAGTGAAAATTCGAAACATCACGAACTTGTGTAGCTATTGCGCAATAAACATCAAGCCAAAATAGCAAGAATAATGAACCGATAATCATCAACTTACACATCCTTCCCGTACTGGGAACAATGGAAACTGTGACTTGACCATTAAGAGTGATATGAAAACGATCGCGACGAACAGCGCGGCGACATACGAATGGTAGTGGACGATCTAGAAAAAAAAATCACGAGGGGGCGGGGGGTGGGGATGCAAGCTGCTTACAGCACGAATAAGCTTAGATGATAGGGAAAAAAATCTGGTACCCAATATATCCGCTATAGTGATCTTGATTTTTCGTTAATTACAGCCAAAATACGAATTTGGACGACTGAGATGAACAGTAGATCTTCTCACGACTAAAACAGTACATGTGTAACTATGTGCAAATATTAACAATCGCAGGAATATCTATATATTTTCGATGCAACGGTCAGAAAAGTTTGAATGCACATATTAGTGGCAGATTTATTGCTGAAACCAGTTCAGTATCAAAACTTTTTACTCACCACTACGCCGCTGCGATGGGCCAAGCTGAAGATTACATCCGAAACCACCCCACGCTCCCACCCCATTTACCAAATGCATTCTGAAAACACAACCAAAAGGTAAGTTATAAACATCCAGAAAACATCAAACTCTCCAGAAATAACAGACTCGAATGCAGAAAAACAATGTGATGCAAATCACGGGTGAAGATCAAAAAAGGTCAAGATTTAAAGTTCAGAAGGGAAGACCTCAATCTCTGAGAACACGGCCTTTTTCAAAGTTGATGCGCTCTGATCATTTCAAAGATAAGAGGTATGAAAAGTACCTTCCCCGGATTAATCCCTTTTTGGGATTGCAGCACGCACCTCTATCTCCATTCGGAATCATAAATATACAGTCGGAGCGGCCGCACCCCTCCTTCCGGGTGTGAAGTGGGTCCCGGCGAGAAGTTTTCCATGAGAGGGAGGGCCAGGATCCTCCTTCCGGGTGTGAAGTGGGTCCCGGTGCTTCGCCGGTTGAATGGTCGAAAAAAATTGTTTTGAGAATTACCGCAATTTGCCGTTTCACTGCTAGTATATACCCCCCCTAGCAGACAGTCAACAAAAATTTTCTATACAGCGGTCCAGTCGGTGATGAGGAACCACAGAATAAACGGCACGAACCACTTGGTATACTCCCTACGGTTATCCCTTACTAACATCATCTGCCCAACCATTGCTCATTTTCACTTACTCCCCATTTCCTGGAGTTTTTCGGATGTATTTTGAGGGTTTTTATCCCCGGCACCGTTCACTTCGGCGCACGCCCTGCCCATCGTGGGTGTGCTTCATTCATTCCGTCCGCCAACTGTTTGCCTATCGTTTCCCACAATTTCCGCTCTCCGGGATCTTCTGGAACCGAATTACGAATTTTGTTTTACCTGAAAGTTGGTTTGGTTACAGCAGGGCGAGCACCGCCTACCTATAGCACGCCTCGCCCATCACGGGTGTGACTCCCTCATTTCGTCTGTCAACTGACTGCTTATCGTTTCCCACAATTTCCCCTCTCCGGGATCTTCTAGAACCGAACTACGAATTTTTGAAAGTTCTGTAGCAAGCACCGCCCACCTATAGCACGCCCCGTCCATCACGGGTGTGACTCCCTCATTTCATCCGCCAACTGACTGCTTATCCTTACCCACAATTTCCGCTCTCCGGGATCTTCTAGAACCGGACTACGAATTTTTGAAATATGTAGCTCACAACTGTGCGCACGCCCCGCCCACAGTGGGCGGGGCTTAGCTCGGTTCACGTGTGTTCCGTACATCTTGGCCCATGCCCTACCCAACCCACCCTTGACCCGTCCCTTCTAGCTGGCTCTTCAGGTGATTCCGAATTTCCGGACAGACAGACAGACAAACAGACAAACAGACGTTGCCGTTTATATATAGTAGGATAGAATCGGTGACCGTGTAGCGGGAAAAAGGCGTGGTTGTCTGGGGCGCGGGGCATGCGGCGGCGTCTACAGCATGCACTACACGTGGGCAAGATTGCAAAAAACTGCTTCGTGGAAGAAAGCTACTGTAAGCCACATGTCGTATCCGATTAAGGAAGGATACTTAGTGCTGTGTGAAGAAACGGTATGAGTCAGTCAGATGATGTGAACGTCAAGATGTAGAAGCTCCGGGATGGGTGCACCAATTTCTATACGAAAAAATAAATGTCCACATAAACTAAAATGTTCCGCATTGCGAAATAGAGCAACCACAACAAACTTAACAGCTGTCATATGAAGCGCACTACGTAATCGCCCATGACATCATCATAAGCACGGCAAGCTATGATTATAAGAAAAAGTCTCCTAGAAAGAAACATCTCTCAGTAGTCGTTTAGAAAATCATTAGCATATGACGCGCCCCAAACATAGGGTCCATCTGGGTGACAACTTTGGAACCTGAGAAGTAGAAAAAAAAACAACTGGCGCTGTAGACGCTGACGTCGTTACACTATGACCACGAGGTAAGTGAAAAAAAATTGGCGGTTATGAAATCAAGGCCTGATCGCAAGTCCAATATAACGTGCTCCCCTGCACACTCCGTTTCTCTGTTGACTAAAATCAACCGAGGCTAGGACTCGTGTAGGAAATGTAAAACGTGGTTGGATGTGTGAAATATCCCCGAAATCACGCAGAATCTGCTCTTTTCACTGCCCTGACAGTATGAAAGAACGAGTAGGCACGCTTGTAAGTTTCGCAGTGTAAGGTTCTTCACTGAAGTGTGTTAGTAGTTAATGTGCCTTCCGAGGTTGATAGGTGGAACTTTTATTCGGCGTCCAACATTTCGACTTCGTCTTCGGGCCTGAACATAATTCATCGAAGTTGGCCGTTGAAAGTTCCACCTACCACCCCCGGAAGGCACATTTATTTATTTATTCATTTACTGTGCACGCAAGGCAAGGCATCTTCAGTTGATATTGTGTTAGTAGTTATTTATATTACCTTCTAGGTAGCAAGAAGAGAGAAGTTGGAGAATACTTCTTCACTGAATTTTGGCACTAGTCTGCCTACTTGCCATAAAATTCACAGCATAGGGTCACGGTAACCGTGTCGCATTGGTTTCAACACATGATAAAGGGATGGGACGAGGACACTGAAGTAAGAGGAACTGATAAGTACTGATATGGACTGATAAGCTGCATAGGGAAGGAAGCAAGTTCAAATTCACAGCGCGCGTCAAGCAGCAGTGGCGCACCAGATACAACAGGTGACACAGGAAGTGGGACGAGAACACTGATTGTTAGCATTAATCGAAAACAAATGATAGGAGGCGATAAGGAAGTTCAAGTCTCCGAATAGGTCATGTCGCCCTCGCCGCGCCTTGATTGCGGCCACAACACTATGCCTAATTTCACACCACAGTTTCACATTTCACACTCACTCCTCGGTTTTCGAAGGCTTTACCTTAGACAACCGGCAATGTCTGTCATTCAATAGAAGAATAAAGGACCTGCATGTCACATTCACATTTTGCTTCTCAAAGGCTTTACATTAGAGAAGCGGCAATATCTGTCGTTCAGTAGAAGAGGACCTGCATATCCCTACCACCGGAATACTCGTTGAAAACACCGTGGATTGTCACACGTGTAATTGCCGCACTTTCGAACCTATCCGGTAATGATACAGGTCCGGCGGGAAGCATCGCTTCGGCACGAGCGATAAAATGCAGCCAAAACGGAAGATTTTTAAGATGCGCACGCCAGGACTTAAGCGATGACGAATCTGTACTTTCAACGTGATTGCAGAGTTCTTTACAAATATTTATGCGTGGCCAACGGAACGCATTGCAAGAGTTCCCTAGTAGGGTTTCCCTTAGGAAGTTCTCAAGAAGAAAGCTACACCTCTCTCTTGAATCGAAAGAGATTTTCTGATGGTTGCAAGCCAGGAAGAGTCAAGTTACGCGCGCATACTTTGTGGCCATCCTAAGTTATGGCTGTAGGTCAATCAGGGGAGCGGTGACTGAGCTGGGCATTACATAAGAATGGTAGAATAACCTTTTTTCCTTGGGTGTTTCTTCGTGTCTGAGATGAATGTATAGCTGTCATGTGCTGGAATCGGAAGTCAGTGACTTCTTTTGATCTTTTGTGCATTGTCCTGTTGCGAAACCCTGTTGACGCAGACGGATAGAGGGCAGCGGCTGCCAAAGCATCGAAACGTGCAAAAAACGTATGGCGAGCCAGGAAACGGGATTTTTCAAGGGGAGGGGACTCCGGGGTGGGTGAGCTACTTACAGTCGGTGAAAAGCTGGAGTGAGCGAAGTCACAACGGCCATAGAGTGCCATGCGGACGAGAGAGTGCAGAGAAAAAGAGAAGATCGACGCGTTCAAGGATTTTGAACTCCCCGTAGAGGCGTCTCCACGCTCCAATGCAGAACCGCCAGCCATACGTCCCCATATCCGGTATGTGAAGCTACACGTTGTACTCTCTCTGCTATTCTTGGTACAAACGCACGGTCATAAGATCTCAAGAAAAGGCTAGAATGCTTGTATAAAGCGGAGTTCAAGCGGAGCGGAGTTTGTCGATCATTGAAATCTTTCGGAAGAAACGTCACGCGGTCGTAGGGCTGGTTGTTTTTTTTTTCGGGAAAATCGATAGCTATCCCCTCTTTCGCACTTTTTCCTTGGTTCACTTATCGTGTGGCAGCCCTCTCTCACATATTTTCTGGAAGCAGTTGAAAATTATTATTCTCTGCCTTTATTTGACTGAGTACTTGTTTTTTATTTTTGTCTAATCTTTGATAACCGACCGGCAGGGTCGAAAAATTTCAAGGAAAATCATGCAAACTTCGCCTATAGGGATTTCTCGATGCTGCAATTGCGACCGTCACAAGCATATTTTTGACCACAGCCATGGACTGAAATGTGGCATTGAAGAGTGTAGTGTAGCTGGGTTTTTGTCTGGTCTAGTTATTTTATTCCGACTTGAAAACTAATGGCCATAAATTTGAACGTCATACTTCCTTCTTATTTGGGGCTCTACGCATTTATCTATAATTCATAGGCGTTCAAAATCGAAAATTGTGGCACGCAGCTTGGGGTCAAATGGCGCTATGTCATCTACGAATACCGTTTCCCTGTCGAAGAGGATGAATAGCGCGACGAACTTTTAACAGCGAATGTCTGGCAATACGTGGGCAGTTTTGGTGCAATGCACCCAATGCAATGCAAACCACGGCTGTTTGCACAACTTATTTCTTACCCACCCGGCTCACATTAGCTCTGAGCAGAGGTTCTCATCACTTTTCTCTCGATCGGTCATTCCCATCTTTCAACACTCTCTTTTGAGATAGCACTAAAAATTGTTGCGCAGGATTGATAAGTACCAGTAATTTTTTGGTTAAAAAATAAGCTAATTTTGTCAGCGAAATATAAACTGTACACGAAATCATATAACGCTGAATAGATGCTGTGAATGCAATCGGTAGAGCGCCTTTTTTTGCTCTCCAGCAGTCCGACCGTTCGGGGCTAACTTGATTGGAGGGGGCACAGCACACACTTGAACTAGGCCGGCGCGAGTCTGCTGTTCACTACCCTGGTGAGGGGAGGAGCACAAACGATCAGAGTCGT